TGACCTACCATTGGGTAGGATGCATTGTTAAACACACAACTCAGTGATATACATGTAATTCAGTGACCTACCATTGGATAGGATGCATTGTTAAACACACAACGCAGTGATATACATGTAATTCAGTGACCTACCATTGGGTAGGATGCATTGTTAAACACACAACGCAGTGATATACATGTAATTCAGTGACCTACCATTGGGTAGGATGCATTGTTAAACACACAACGCAGTGATATACATGTAATTCAGTGACCTACCATTGGATAGGATGCATTGTTAAACACACAACGCAGTGATATACATGTAATTCAGTGACCTACCATTGGATAGAATGCATTGTTAAACACACAACTCAGACCAGCCCTTTCAGTCTGACCTAAACCAATCTGTGCTTAGTCTGTCCACACGTTTTTCAACAGTGGGTTAAAATTAACTTGAGGTTGAATCCCAGCATTCCGCTATTGGGGTACATGTGTGAAAAACCGCGTATTTATATTTATACATTTGTAGCAATGTTTGCTGGGTATATATTAGTCTTGTACAAAAATATTTAAAGCTATGTTGTATTATCAATGCACTGTACGCAAGTTGAAACTTGGTTAAACATTGGTACAAGGTGGTAATTCTTCTAAATCTTGCTCTGTCAGTTCTGTCTTTTTCTCTATCGGCAGTTTGGAATATTTTAATTGCAGTATTGTTTCCACTTCTTTGATCACATCCAAGGCCTAGAATTATGTACCAAATCAAAGCAATTAATTATACAGTGTTAACCAATGGGAGGATCCACTTGTTTATGTTTTGCATGTGTGCATCATGACTGAAAAAGCAAGGATTGATTGGTGTTTGGTAGATGTATTGGTCTTGTTATATTTGTAAGTATTTTTTCATGTTTTTCGTTTTTATTTTTGCAGATTATTAAAAACCTATCGGCAATGTAATGTACATTCACAGTCATACTTAGATAACTCGTTCACATACAAGTTGACAATCAGAGTTGATCATGTGATAACAAAATTATCCCCAATTTGTAGGAATCTGAAAAATTATTTGTAAATTAATCGTATTTATTTCATATCACTTGTATGCCAGCTGACTGTGCCTGATGTACAGTCGGTTAATACAAGTGACTAATAACACACAAGTAATGACCTCGTAATACATAGTAAAAGTCATGGCATACCAGGCAAATAATATACTAATTATAAACACAATGCATTTAACATCACTAATAACAAATTTAGCATTGATTAAAATCCCACAAGGCATGGGAGTGTAATAGCGAGAACTATGACATAATACTAACCGTATCAAGCATTTCTTTGGTATGCGAGGCAGACATACAAAATCTGGCTCTCCCTCCTATGATTGATGTTGCTGGGAACCCAACCACCACAACTCCAAGCTTCCTTTTCAAACATTCTCGACAAAAAGCTCTGATAACATTGATAAAAGATTTGTTTAGATATCAAAAATATCATATTTATTGTCATAGTCCCCGTCCTGTATAAGTATTGGAGATCAAAAGATGCACATAGATTATAATAACTGTTGGGAGTATTCAGAATGTTAAAATTATGGTGTTACTTCAAATGGCACCTTATCGATTTTTTTTTTTCAGTCAAAGTGACACCATCTAGAAATAGGATCATTCTGTACAAAAGTGTACAATCCACACATAAAAGAGTTGGACGTTTTGTATCAAATAACAAAATGAAACGTGTGTTGTTTATACCAAGTTTTTTTGTACTTACATCACCAAAATCATTCAAAGCACATCTGAGAAAATGGGTATGGACACTTGTCCATTAGTGACATACCATGTGTTTAATATGTTCATGCCACGTTGAATAATATCGACTCGGGCATATCTGAGAAACAACTGCTGACGTATTTGATTTGATGAAAATGACCACCAGTCAGATAAAATTTATCAAAATCCAAAATTCAATGGGCAAGGTTGTAATACTTATGCTATGTTTATTACTGGATACGAGAATTTCATACTGATTAACAAAACAATTTTACTGGATTTTTTGTGTAACATCTATCACACAATTTTTCAGCTTATTTTGTAATTTTCTCTGCATACTGTAAATATCACAAGAATACATAATCTTATTTTTAACACAAAAATGTTGATGAGATTCTGCTCACTTATTACTTACACGACTTTGGATGGCAGGTATATCAGCAACGGCACCACTGGTGAGTCATCGTTTCCATATACAATAAAACCCATTTCATGTAATCGTCGACGGAAATACCGAGTATTCCATGCTAACCGTTGAAGTCGTTGACTACCTAAGGTGAGATTAAAATAAAACAATTACATATGTATCGTATGAGGTCTATAATAGCTACCAGACAGATTCGATGCTGAAAGTGACCAGTTTATACAGATTTGCATAAAAGGTATGCATGTAATTAGACATCCTTCCACAATTTGCTTTTTTTGCTTAAGCAACGAAAGATGTATTTTGATCTACTCAATGAGGATTGATTGATTGAAGCCTAAAAAAGCACTGAAATTCATTCTGTTGTTTAATATTGTTCTTTTCAATTTCAATCATGATGGGCATAGAAGTAACTAATCTTGAGATAGTACTGTCAGACCCAAACAGGTCTTGTTATTTTGCATCATAATTAAAATTTGGACTGTTTGTTCTTTACAAATCTAATTTGCCAGTACTTTGAAAAGTTGAGAACTGAAATGGTACATGTCTGATCACAATGCATATGATTATCTCTCAGTTAAAATTAATGAGGACATCACATTGAACTTGATCACAATGACAAAACAGTTCTGGCCGAATTCAGGTATTATGAATCAGTAATTGACATGAACAACATAATTTTGGAGGTAATAATTATCATCATAAAAATATGACAAAGAAGTCGTACTCTTTAGTATCTACTGCATCTTTAAGAGATGCAACACATATAGAAATTTATGATAAAAAAAATAAATAACCAAAAAACAATTTTGCGAACATTATCATTATTAAATGAATAGTAAGTATAAAAAATTACCGATCAAAGATGCTAGGCTTGACTGGCAAGGGCACTTTTTGTCGCTGAATTCAGGCTTTCAGGCAAAATTACCCATATGAAAAACAAATTTCCAATTCATAGGATTGAGGTACGTTTCAATTTACATAATAATAGCCAGACAAAACATTGTGATTTTAGTATGTATATACCATTACATTTAAAAAAAAGCTCACCATAAACAAATCCTTGTATTTTAAACTCTGTGACCTGTGTATATGTCTGACGATGCAAATCAACATAAAGTACAGAAATAAAATATACCAACTTGATCATAAACATTAATGAAAACTTGATTAACACAACACAAGCCCAACAAAAGTTTGTTTAGGTATTATTTACCTGTATTAGTTCCATCCAATCCCATGATGCTTTTCATGCTTGATATAATCTGTTGTGCCACTGGTGGCGACATAGAGGTAGCATAAACCGAACTGTGAGAACGAAATTTTAAATGTGCTATCAATTCCTGAAACAGTAAAATAAATCATATTGTCATCTTTCATATTCTAGTATCTCAAGCTGATTGGTAGAGAGCCGGTCACGTGGAGTGGGGTAACTCTCAGTTTATGCAAATTACGCCGACATTCCACTACAATGATGTCTGCGTAGGACGTACCATGCAAAACACACCATGCTGGCTGCCGAATTTTTAAGTTCAAGTACTCGCAGGTTTGGCAAACTCACTCACTGCAACATTCACGCAATATTGTCAATACAGATGTTGACTAACACAACGTTACTCGTGTGGCGTGAACAGCTGACAAGGTCACATTCACTCTAACCGCCTGTAACAAACACAAATGAAGTGCACAATTTGACTACGTAAACAAACATGCATTTATGATCCAAACAAACATCATGAATATACCGGTATAATTAATTTACATATTGCTTAGTGACGTCATTTGTAACAAATGCTGCTCTGTAAAACCAAACATAAACAATCTTAAATTCATATACTTTTAATACTAATAATAAGACAGTATACCTTACCTTAGTACCTGCAATATACCCGCCAGCTGCTCCAAAACTCTTTGTAAATGTTCCCATCATTATATCCACATCCCTGGGATCCATCCCATAATAGTCTACAACACCTCGTCCATTTGGACCCAAAGCTCCAATACTGTGTGCTTCATCCAGATAAAGATATGCATTATATTTCTTCTTCAGTCTCACTAATTCAGGTAAAATGGCAATAGAACCTTCCATACTGAAAACAAAAGTTTGATTAGTATAAAATCTACATTAGATACTGTACTTGTGTCGGAGGTCACAAATTAACAACACACTTGTTATTAACCATAATGAGTGTGTAGGGTTTCTAAAAGTGTCAGTCGTTGGGAACAGAGCATATTCAAAATTGAACAATGTATATGTTGCATGGGACCCATCATGGTGTAACAACTGCTGCACATTAAAGAAAGTGTTTAGCCATTGTTCACTTGGATCATTTCCAGAAGTTCCAAAGCAACTTTTTTTAATTTATTTTAACCTTTTCTCCACCAGTGTCCTTCTTTTCTTCATAAATTCACAAAATAGTCCCGACCCAAATCCACGTTTGAAAAATGCAAATTTGTGTTCATCATCGTATGGTTCAACATACTAAGATCAATTATAGTTGTTCATCAGACGATGATGTGATGAAATTCAAACAATGAGGAGCATTGTTTGAATTTCATCAGCAACATTGAATCAATTTCAATATTTAATACAATGTACATAATATTCTGCACGTCATATTTCATATACCATCATATATTGGCAAAAGTCCACACCAATGAATCTAAAAGTTGTCTTGAAGTATATGCTTTGTGTAATGAGTGTATCATGCGATATACAAACAGTCATCGCAAGAAAGTGTGAAAACCCGACTTACCTGTATACACCTTCAACAATTATAAGTATTTTTTTCCATGGTCTATGAGTACGTGGCTGGCCGTTAATTATTGACTGACGTAACCGAATTTCTAAATTTTTCATATCTATGAACATAAAAATAAAGCATTTTGATATTAAATAAACAGTTCAGTACTTGCTGGCATTCTTCTTAATCCAGTGTTCATTTATTTTATTGAGCGGAATATTGCATCGAGATACCATCTTCTTCTTCAGAATTATTTACCATCATAAAATGTGTATAGCACATTTTTGGGGCGTGTAAATACCCTAAAAATGTTTTTCCTGTTTTTTTTCTATCTGCATATGCTATGTACAGTTCACTGGCAGGTTAAGCATACTTTTGTACTATAATCGGTGGAATATATTATTTATACTAGTAATTCCAGAGAGATTACAGAACATGACCCCCTACCCCCCCCCCCCACCCCTTCCGATATCATGCAGAGACCAATTGTGATTCAGGTATTACTATGAATATTCATATAGCAAATAGATGAACAGCCAGAATATTAATATTGAATCAAAAGATTTCAAGTAGAGAAAATATTCAATATATTTTGAGTATGTTATGCATACACAGTCGAAGTGGAATATCATAGATTCTCATTAACCAAACCAAATAAATTATATAATATTTTTAAGAAGTCAATGTAAAAGTAAATGGGACTGGCAGGATAAGGGTTAATTTTTAACAGTGAAGTGTGTCATTAATAAAAGCACACAGCATGAAATTAATTATCTAATTGCTAAATTTAGCTCTAGGCTATAAATCATATAGTCATTTTTCTATGATACTTATATTAATAAAAGTTTATATATATATGCATTCAGTTATTAACAAAATAACATGGTTATTAATGGTTTAGTATGTCTGAATGACAAAATGAACTGCCCTAAAGACTTTACATGTAGGTCCACCATCTGCAACTTGACAGTACATACAAAAAAAAGCACCAATATATACTGCAATATTTACCGGTACATGTATTTGACATGTACTGGTAATTTTAATTGTCCATGCTGGTCCGACATTCAACTTTTCCACAGAGTCCCACAAGTGTCTTTCAAATAATATTCTGACTAAATAGCATGTTGGCAGCTCATTTTCAAAACTGACAAGCAAAATTTTGTCATTGCTAACCACTAGTAAATATTCAAAAGTGCTCTCAATGCTTACTATAAGTGTGCTTTAGATGAAATATGATCAGAGTTTTTGAGCTGCATGAATTGATCGACTTACAAGAGCTGGGATTATAATATTCCATCTAAACATTTCAATTGTGATGTTGTTTTGAAAACCTAAAGTGTAATGGAACCAGACTACCATGGCGATCAAACCAATGCAGAATTCAGACATATAGTCAGTTGTGCATTCAGAGTATCCGTAGTTTTATGATCTTTAGTTATCATAAGGAGCACTAACTGTTGAATTTTGCTTTTAGATTGACAATTGATCAAATCACTATCACTGTATTAATTGTAACATTCACATATTGTGAATTGAAATGTCATTATCTGGATGTGTACATAATAGGTCCCCAATGTGCACAGAAGTCAGCGATACAATGCATCAACCAATGTTAGGAAACAGTTGACTTTTACAATGATGTGGAAAGTTTTTGCTGCCGTTTCTGATGAAATTTAGTATCATTTATGCCATGTACAGGTATTCAATTAAATTAAAGCTGCAATTACATGCAGTACAAAACAGACCAAATGCATATTGAGACAAAATAAAACGATTTGTGTTCCTCACGTCAGAAACTTATGAGTCGGTTGACATGCGATGTGAAATTGTTTTGATGTAATATGCTTTTATTGATTGTAGCCATCAATAAAACAACAGTCTTGGATTGTGTTCACACTCCTCAATTGATTTTGACAATATACTGTGGAAAAAGAGCTGGTTATCTTAATTGGGCAAGTCAAAAATACAACAGTAACAAGCTAATATAGACTAAAGCTATTAACGTTAACACGTGTTGGTAGGTCCATGATGTTACTATTCTGAATGAGAAAGCATTTGTGGACAGATGAATAATCAAACATTGAAATCTTATATTATTAAAAGCAATACGCGTATGATATATAATTCCAAAATTGCAGTTTTATGTAAATTAAGTTGGTACAAATTCTGTTCCATTATTTGCTTTAGTTTAAAGCATACTGTAAAATGACTAATTTTCACTGGGTTTAAATTTCACTGATTTACCATTTCAGGCATATTCAGTGGGTTTTTAATTCACGGTTTCATCATTTAGATAATGTGTTCTCTGCTAAATGTTACATATTCACTGTGTTTTAATTTAGCGCATTTTTCCAGTCAGCGAAATAAGCTAAATTAAAACCCAGTGAACAATTACCCCCTTTACAGTACTACCAGTAAGTAAAACTGACTCCTCTCTCTCTCTCTCTCTCTCTCTCTATATATATATACATGTATTTATATATCAAAACAATTAACTCAGCAACCTTTGGTCTACCTACTCATTTAAACCTTTGATCTCCATCATTTCTCCCGCCAAATTATTTTCTAGATTTTTTTATGTATTTTTCTATAATTCCATTTTTGACAAGTTTGGACAAAATTGTCATAATTTCCTGTTGGTTACAGCTAGGTCTTAATTGATAAAAATATTTGAAAAAATAAGAATAAAATTTATGCAAGTTTTTTTTCTATGAAACTGCAACAAAATTTGACTGTTGAACCAGGTGCAAGTAATAATCATACCTGTGAATAAACAAAACAATTTCTCAGTTTGTTTTTAGCTATTTGGTGCCACGAATAATACATATATCTAACAAAAGAAACCACACCACACCAAAACAAACCAGGCTTTAATGTTTGTGTATTGTGACTACTTCTACTGGATATGAAGAAAACAGAATTTTGAATCATTTATGTGCTGTGTGTGCATAGTAACTGTACAGTCATCAGTGCCTGTATCTATAACAAGTCAGTCTTCTGTTATGCAAATCCTGACCTCCTGACCTCCTGACTCTTACACTTGGCAAACATCCAGCTTAGCTGAGTCATGATCAGTTGTTTTGGTACCTGACAATTCTATAGATAATAGGGAAAGGACAGTTGATATATTGTTGCTATGGTTACATAAACAAACTACTGATAAGCATTACTCAGCATTTAGCTCTTCAGAAGCCAGGTCATGTTTACATATTGATTACTTTCATTATAATAGTTCCATGGAAGCACTTTTGCTTCTGATTGAAAGTCATCACAATAAATGCATACTGCCACTCCCAAAATGTCATTTCATGTAATTATTAATATGATAACCCTCCCAAGGTATTAATTCAACCAAATACTTATAATAAATACAGATATGTGATAACAAACATGTCCACACCCTACCCCACCCCACCCCACCCCACCCTTAGAAACAATACTTCTCCACCTGAATTGTATACACATTATACATTGCTACGCATGAGAAGCCAGCTTAAGGTAGTTTACCAAGTTGCCAACAGTTCATACAAATCTCAGATGTAGATGGGGAAACCCTTACAGTAATTTTCTTATAATATTCCATAATAAAAATATATATATATATATATAATAAAATATATATTTCAATTTGATAGAAAAATGTGAAAGATTAAGTTGCAATATGAACACAGATTAAAAACAAATATATTGATATATGTTTTCATTAACTGTTTATCATTAGAATTTGATTTTATTAACTGTATAACATTTAAAATGTTCGTGAGAATTAAACATTTTCATTGTTCTAATTTGATGAGAGCGAACAAATTATTACATTTTCTTTTTGTTTGAAAAGTGTTTTAATAGTACTGGTAATTGTTGATTTAGCCACAATTCGTCCACTTTTGGGCTTTTTTTACTATTTCCATAGGAATTCATGTTAATGTTTTTCTTCATGAAAATCGAAAATTTCCCAATGATAAGTCTTGTTTCAATCTTGTTTTTCTATTGCAGGATGGGGACTATTTATGTCTGAAGTTGGTACAAGTTATTCAGAGGCATTCTAACTAATGAAAAAGAGTTAGAAATTTAGCTAAATTTTTTTTTTCAAAAGTGTATTATTGATTTTGTAAAACTTTTCAGGTTTTCAGTTTATGTTTGTAAAAAATTCAAAAATCCATCTTTCAATATTAATTTTTTTTATTAAATATATATCATTCATCCAAATTCATAATAACTATTTTATAACTGTGTATGTTTTTTTTCAGCTCATATAACTGAACAAAATTTTGAGAAAGTTTTTTCTACCATAGAAACCAATGGTAAATGATTTTGAGAAAGTCTTTTCTACCATAGAAACCAATGGTAAATGATTTTGAGAAAGTCTTTTCTACCATAGAGACCAATGGTAAATGATTTTGAGAAAGTTCTTTCTACCATAGAAACCAATGGTAAATGATTTTGAGAAAGTCTTTTCTACCATAGAAACCAATGGTAAATGATTTTGAGAAAGTCCTTTCTACCATAGAAACCAATGGTAAATGATTTTGAGAAAGTCCTTTCTACCATAGAAACCAATGGTAAATGATTTTGAGAAAGTCCTTTCTACCATAGAAACCAATGGTAAATGATTTTGAGAAAGTCCTTTCTACCATAGAAACCAATGGTAAATGATTTTGAGAAAGTCCTTTCCACCATAGAAACCAATGGTAAATGATTTTGAGAAAGTCCTTTCTACCATAGAAACCAATGGTAAATGATTTTGAGAAAGTCCTTTCTACCATAGAAACCAATGGTAAATGATTTTGAGAAAGTTCTTTCTACCATAGAAACCAATGGTAAATGATTTTGAGAAAGTCCTTTCTACCATAGAAACCAATGGTAAATGATTTTGAGAAAGTCCTTTCTACCATAGAAACCAATGGTAAATGATTTTGAGAAAGTCCTTTCTACCATAGAAACCAATGGTAAATGATTTTTCGAAATGTATTTTGATGACCATAATTTTTAACCAGGTTTTGTATAATGCAGCAAAAAATAAAACCATATTGTAAAAGTCAAGTTGTATGACTTGTTTTAATGGTAGCCAACACAAGCAAACATGAAATTACACGCCCCTAATGTATCAATAGGTGTGACATAGATCAATTTCAGAAATGACCTTTCTACAAACTTTTTTATTACCCATGAACTTTTACCATTCATTCAACTCCTGTAAACACATTAATTATTCATTAGGTTTTGCTGATTAGTGAAACTGCTATGTGAACATGTACATCAACTTGGAACCCTAATAAAAATTTTCAAAACATCAAGATAGAAAAATTAAATGTCAGCAAAAATAAATAGTTTTACAGTATTATAAGTACAAACAACTTACTGTAGAATACTTTATTTTCGCTTGAAATTTATTTTCGCTGAAAGGATGATTCCGTGAAAATAAAATCCAGCGAATATACTTGTTTCCCCTATATTTCACATTCAACTCGTCAAAAATCAATGAAAATAAATTCCATACAAAACACCCTAAATGCCTTTTCAGCGAAAATTAATTCCAGCTAAAATAAAGTATTTCACAGTATTCAATTTATGCTGTCAGAATGTGTACCTCAGATGCACTAGTTTGTCTTTCACTGATGAAAAATTAATTTTTCGTGGGTCAATGAATATATTTCAGAAAACAAGATGATTTAATTTGTAGGAAAAAAAACATGAGCAAATCGTGGAGTTAAAAAAAAGTGTATACTCACCATCATGCTTAAAAGTTTTAACTAATGCACCAGAAAGGCGGCAACCCAATACCAGAGAAGAATGGTTCAATTCATCACTGAGAATAAGACAACCCTGAGAAGAAGAAATTAAATTATCTCGCACCAATCTTTTTTTTTTTTTCAAATATTTACTCAGATATTGCAAGGTTTAGAATACCACTTGCATTAGATAGACATGAATAAGTAAATATCCACATTAAAACCATAGCAACAGGTGGTTGCTAGGATACCACATAAAATATGTATAGATACAATGAAATTCAGCAAATAAGTCTTATATTGTGACAAATGTAAACATCAAGTTTAAATTGTTTGTGAATTTATGGGTTTATCTCACCTTGCCAAGAAGGGCTGGGATATTCAAAGCATTAGTAGCAAAGCCCATACCGAATACCATAGCAGACTCTAACCCTAAGAATTGAGCTACTAGTTTTTCCAATTCTATGTGGATATCAAGATTGCCTAGCAAAAAAAAAAGAGATATGTTTTATAAAGATAAAATAATACAACAGTTCAATGAGAATACACGTATACGGGTTCGATATATGTACAATAAAATTATGAATATTAGTATTTAGTCACAAATACACATCATTGACACAAAAACAAACATCAAGAATCAGTTCCGTGTTGTAAAACTCACCAAGTTCCTGTCTGGTGCTGCACACTCCGGCACCATATTTAATTAAAGTCTCTAGAGAAGCTTCAGCACAAGGTCCAGAGTTTTCGGCAAAACCCAGATAGTTATACGACCCAAGGTTAATACACCGACTTGATTTACCAGTAAGACTACCAGTAAAAAAGAATATAAACAGCATAAATTTTGATACATTAAGTTATTAAAATGTATTACAATCAACACAATTCAGATCACTTATTTATTCAATGCAATCATTTTGTTGTTAACAGTGGTTTAATACCGATTTCTGTTCTTATATCAATTAAGGCTAAAAGTTTAGATAACTGGCCACCCTAATGTTTCACAAACACTTCACCGACATGGAGAACCAACATGGTAATTATAGGTCTGTTGTTTTTATTATTAATTTTTTGCATGCATTCTAGACATATTCAATGATGTTAAAATAGCATTCATTGGGTCTGTTGATTTATTATATACTGCTTCAAAAAGTGAGATCTGCAAATTTAGTTTATGTGCAGTTTTAACATATCAATTACATTCTTTGAGGTACGTGCATGAGTTCTTTGTACGTGCATGAGTTCTTTGTATGTGCATGAGTTCTTTGTACGTGCATGAGTTCTTTGTATGTGCATGAGTTCTTTGTACGTGCACGAGTTCTTTGTACGTGCATGAGTTCTTTGTACATGCATGAGTTCTTTGTACGTGCATGAGTTCTTTGTACGTGCATGAGTTCTTTGTACGTGCATGAGTTCTTTGTACGTGCATGAGTTCTTTGTACATGCAT